TCAAAAACAGCCAATGGGAAGGCATCAGTTTACTTCAATATTTGGACAGCCAGTGAACACCTCCAGACCAACTAGAGGAATGAAGAGACCCAAGGCAATGACCACTGAATCAAGCTATCGATGAGTCTGAAGATGATGAAGAATTTGTGTTCCAAGTGCAAGAAGCTTAAACAAGAAAATGATCAATTGAAAAGAAACTTGGAGGAAATTTTACAAAATAAAGGTATGTGTACTGTTGCAGTAGCAACTGTATGTAATAAGTACCTGCAACATTTGTAGATCAAGATATATAATCTCACAGTCGCCAGTCAAACAAGTCAGTGATGAAGACCCAATTGACTCAACCAGTGTAAACTCTCTTATAACAAGGGAATTTTAAAACAGTTGATTTAATTGCGTAGACTTCAAATTACTTTTGTTAAAATCTAGCCAATCAATCAATCAAATCATGTTCCAGAGCCACCACATGCAGTTCCCATGAGCTAAGAGGAACAGGCACTCTGGGGACAACAATGGCTTTTGCTATACGAACAGAAGGTAAAAACCTTCCTGCAAATCAGGCTAGCCTAGTGGGATAATTGGATGCAGACTGAGCCCAAGAGGCACTTGTCTTGAAAGCAATATAGTGATTGTCTTGTGTAATTGTTGGAGATGTTTTTATAAGCTAAGTACATAGTCAAACAAAAAGGTAATTTCCGATTAACTTTTGCAGTTTCTGAGCCACCAAGACCTGGAAAGGTCCATCCACTGAATGCTCGCCGTTTTCAGGTAATAGTCATGATTTTTTGCCACAAGTTTGCATTTCCACCTGCTATCTTTAATTAATAATTCACTATTAATTAACTGCCCTTTCATTTGTATAATTGCTTTCTTTGTAGATGGTAGAACTCATCCCAGGTTCACATGTGTTTTTTTATGCTAACACAATCGAGCAGGCCTCCAGACGAGCATCAGGTACTGGATGTGCAGCATGCCTGCTGAATGCCTTTTACACAAATGAGGAGTTGAAAGGCAAAAACCTAACTGGAGAAAATGGCATATCAGCAATTGATCCAGACATTCTAAACAGCATCCTTGGTAAGCATAAATTTCAAGATGTACAAGTTCATAACTTAGTCATTGCACTTCTATGAACCACAAGTAAGTTGTGAGGGTGAATTAATCAACATGACANNGCTGATCATAACTCAATCATAAAAAATGGGGGTCAAGGAACTCATTTTTGAGTTATTAGCACTGAAAGCTATAATTAAGGGTGTTTTTAACAGGTTATACTATTGCTATGGTAACCACTAATGTCAAGAAAATGATCAGAAGTTGTTGACCAATTTGTTTCATACCATTTCTGCAATAGCAACTGATAAAGAGTTATAGTACTGACCCATCAAAGTATAAGGGCTGGAAAATGCTGACAACCATTATCGCAGCCACCTTAAGCCAAACACAACTACAAGCTGTTTAGTTTTGTATACAAAAAGTATACAATATGGACCATTTTCATTAATTTTTTGAACTGAATGTATACAAAATGTAGACACATCGAACACTATGTATACAAAAAGTATGCATCACAACGTTAATGTTTTGTACACAAAAAGTATACATCATGTACAAATTAAAATTTCTATACATTATGTATACATGGTAATAGATGTCCAACAGTAACAATTAAATGAAAGAATGAAAGATGCGAATGCAGCCATAACACTACTGGAAAAATGACCTGAAAAAATCTTCAGGCTCTGAACGGAAAAAATCTTCAAGCTCTGATCCCATTCAGAGCCTGAAGATTTTTTCAGGTCATTTTTCCAGTAGTGTTATGGCTACATTCGCATTTTGCATTCTTTCATTATGTATACAATGGAGTTCCAAATTCATAGTCCAAAATGTATACATTGAATGTACAAAATGTATATCTCACAAAGGTGCAAAATGTATACATTGTAATGTACACTTTAGTGTTGAAATCTAGATACATTTTGTATAATTCTTTATTTTAGCGCGTGCCTTCAGAACAGAACAGAATCTATGGAGTACAAGCGTCCACCAGAATACGAAGAGACAAATCAACGAACTTCTCTGCTTGAAACTTGGACGTGACCTCAGGAGAATACTCCACAGTCCAATATAATCGATCATTTACGGTAAAAATGTTGTGGCCGATGGCGTAATTAATCTTTGCGCTCTGCATGGCTAGATGGGAACCAGCAAATCTGTAAGGAAATTTTCCTTCTGGATCAATTGACAGGGAACCAAGATTTGTCAAATTGAANAGAGGAAAACACATTTAAAACTCTGGAAATGCGTCTTCACTTCGACTGAGACGTTTAAAACAATCGATGCCTTCTCAGTTCCGAAATTCGTTGTCGGTCTATCTTGCCATTGGTGTCGCTTTCTCTATTTCGCTGGAGTAGTCTGTCGTTCGTCGCCAATTCATAGCCCTCATGTCGCCTTTTCAAGGCCATGTCGCTTGTCGGAATTTAACCCTAACAGGTCTCAATATATGCTAAAACGTCCACGTCCAATAAATCGAGTCCGTCATTGCTGAGTATTTTTTCTCACTCTCAGCTGAGTGCCCTAAAACGCCTAGCGAATTTCAGACAGGGGACATGGGTACACCCCTAACAGAGCCTCCAAAATGACCCGTTCACTATATCAAGTTCCGTACTTTGAACTCACTTGCGCCCTGAAACACACGTTGCCACACCACATGTTTCGGGGCGCAAGGAGACAAAGTGTCATGAATGTTGGAATGTTGTAAGGTTGATAAACAATCAGGTCTGCGAGATACGGTATTAACTCTCGACATGTCAACCTCGACCCTCGACATTTCATCCCCCACCCTCGACGTGGCGCCCTCCGGCGACATGGCACTTTCGACCCTCGACCCTCAAGAAAAAGGAAGACTCTGTATTGAACGGTCTTGAATCAGTTGGGAACAGCACCCTGCTAGCAGAGCCACTTCGATCTTTCCTATCTATACCTGGGCATAACTATCTAAGCAAAATCGAAGCGCCATGAAATAATCCCTCGAGTTTGGACTCGAGTTCGAGTTCGAGTTATAAGAAATATGTTGGAACAATATAGTTATTCTTCTTTATTTACCAAAAAATAGTTAGATACAGGTACAGTGTGACAACCTGCCGTCCACTTAAACTAAAAGCTTAAAAATTAATTGTAACAATTAACATTGTTAATGTTTTTAAATTCATTGAATCACTTAATCTTGCAGTCTCGAGTACTGTCATTAAATGTCAACAAAAAATAAAAATTGAGTCAATATTAACTACTGTTAAGTAAACTCCGTGCTTATTTTATGTTAACCGGCCTTGCTAATTAACCATTTCATTCTATTAACTATGCTTGGATATGCAACGATTACAGAAAGATTGCAGCGGCTGTAGCGATAATATGCAAACCAGACAAGATTTTATTCATTACTCATTTTTGTTGATTTTACAAGGTGTAACTTTTGTCTTTTCAAAAACCTATAATTTTTGAGCGGTTTCGGCAAGACTCTCAAGGTACCTAAAACAAAACTAGTTTCACGATGGTTATTTGAGAGCACTTGAGAATGTAGAAGCTCAAATTCCTGGCGTGTCATTATCTTCTTTGTTGGTAAAAAAGTTATTTTTATCTCATTGATGTATACATATACTTCGTATCATTCGCTTCTTAAATATATGACAACAAAAAAAAACACAAAAGCAAAAACAAAAACAAAACAAAACAAAACAAAACATCAAAACCACTCATAAGACTTTTGATGTATATATTGTCATAAACAACTCGCGGAGGCATGTACTGGCTGGACATAAACAAACGAACAGTTGTGGTAAGCGTCTTTGAATTCGCTTACAAAACGCATTCTTCAAATCCCTTTATTAAATTTTCTGTTCATGCAAAGTCCTCCCATGCGCGATTCGATCCTTTACTGATTTTTGCTATATGCGTGCATTGGCAGTCACGGTTAACTTAGTTCAAATCGCTTATCGAAAGTCTTCAAGACAAATCAAATCAAAATTCTTTCTTGATGCACACAGACAAACATTAGCTGACCTGCAACTGAAGAGAAAGCTGACTATTACAAAGGTCATAGGTTTAAGTCTTAGTCCATTGGCTCTTCGTCGGCCTTCGTTCGTTTTGTTTTGATGGCCCGTTTCGTATGTTTAGTCGTTTCGTGCCTTCAGAACAGAACAGAATCTATGGAGTACAAGCGTCCACCAGAATACGAAGAGACAAATCAACGAACTTCTCTGCTTGAAACTTGGACGTGACCTCAGGGGAATACTCCACAGTCCAATATAATCGATCATTTACGGTAAAAATGTTGTGGCCGATGGCGTAATTAATCTTTGCGCACTGCACGGCTAGATGGGAACCAGCAAATCTGTAAGGAAATTTTCCTTCTGGATCAATTGACAGGGAACCAAGATTTGTCAAATTGAACAGTTCTCTGTAAATTCCATGGTCGGCATCAAAGCGGGACAAAGCACAAACTGTTTCTGGATTAACACACTGAAAAAGTTTCAGAACATTGCGGTGACTTCCTAAATGGCGGATTCTGCTGTGAATTTCGCGAGTACAGGAGCATGCGAAATCCCAAAAACTTTCCCGTGTCGACACGCTGGAAGAATGTACTTTAATCTGAAGTGAATCAAAAGTGACGTATACTCCAAATTCTTGGCTTTCGATCTTTGGTTGACATTCTTTTCTCACGTTAACGGTGTAAGCACTATCTATCACCAACGGATTCTTGAAGTCTTTATTACTTCCCTCAAAAAGCAGCTGTGATATTGCTAAATGTGTTGCGGCCATAATGGCGCCGTGAACAGTACATTTGTTAGCCTTGCTGCATCTTATTAGAGCTGTTGTTTCTTCCTTTGTCATGCTTCGAGGCACAACATACGTCTTTTGAGGCACGGAGTGACTAGAAATCCGCGAATGAAACTTCGATAAATACGGATTTCTTAGCTTAGGACTGCACAAAGCTACTTTAAGTTTGCGCCAATTGAAAGCTGCAGCAGTCGAAATCTTTTCCCAGATACTTGGACCGCTGCCTATTAAATGTTGCATTGTGTCTTCGAGCACTGGGCGAAACGGCAAACTTTTCACTACAACTGGCTCACCATGGTACAGCAAGCCCACAAATTCGACCAGTTTCTTCAGAAATTCAAAAATAGATAGCGCATCACTGATCATGTGGTGAAACGTAAAAAGAAGCGTGTTTTTGTAGAGTGTTTCCTTGTGGTCACAAGTCAGTTGCGCTGTCTCTTTAAGTAGCGTCACTCGCCACAAAGGCCCTCGTCCTGTGTCTAAAGGCATGCCATTAATTTGCTTCTCAAAAGCATGTAGCCATTCTCCCGAGTTAACATCCTCCAGTCGTTGAAAGTCTAAACTGCCCTGTGGGTTTTCCATCGCTTCAAAATATGGCTGGCTGAATCTGCTCTCAACAACTCGCATTCGTAGCAAGGGATATTGATCTAAAAGCAGTAACAAGGCATTCTTTACGTGGACGTGGTCAAGCTTCACTTTAGATTCCAGAAACAATACCGTGTGAATATTACCAGTGTTGTTGACTTTAGCGCTCGTCAAGAAGAATTTCTCATAGGAACCCAACCTCCGTGAAAGCGTTTCAGCTGCTGTGATCGCGGGGCGGTTGTGATCCACGGTTTTGTAGTGAAGATAGAGACATACAGCTAAAATAAGCAGTGCAATTGAACTTGTTAACACTGAAAGCGGCG